TGTGTGCTCAGACACTGTGGAAACATGCCTCTGCTGTACGTTCACTGCCTCAAGAAGGGAGATAGTGAAGCACAGCTTGGAGTAACATGTGGTCTGTTACCTGAAAGCTGGAATCTAAGCAAACAGCATATCTGAAGTGTCCACTAAGTGGGGCGTTTGGCAAACGGTGAATTGTTCTGTGCAGAACCATATTCTGCTTCAGTAAATTGCAGTGCTGCAGTCACCTAGTTTGGTGTTTTGGTGTTAAAGCTCGGATTGGGATAACTAAGTTTGTTCAATGAAACCATGGCAGTTACAGCTCCAGCAAGGGAAACGTCAGCTTCAGGTCAGAAAAGGCAAAGTTAAATGAGAACTTGCTGTGTGATGTTTTGTCAGCGTGGTGGACAGCTCTAGGCCTGGCGGAGCAGTGGGAACTGGGAGATCTCCCTGCATGCCTGTGCAGCCCTCTGTCAGCAAGCCTGTAGGACAGAACGGTAAACTACACTCTGGAACTTCGTTAAATTGACAAAACATGTCCAACAGAGTAAAAAATCATGCTTCATTCATTTTTAAGACTTTCCGCATAGTGTTTCAGGCTTATTTTCCGTCGTCTGAGCCTTGCAGTAGAACATGATGAATCTCACACCGAACACCTCAAAAGCAATCTTTACCAAATCGGTCACGAATCAATTTACTTTTTTATATTTCAGATGCCTTGGTTTCCCCCGAGCCGCCAGAATTTTGTACCCCAGGTTTCAAAATTTCTAAACTTCGGCATCCCCCCATGAACCCCAAAACCCCTGAAAGGACAAAACCAGCAGAGACCTGCAGCTCCACCCCTGAGGTTCCAGCGTTCGAGACCCCGTTCCTCAAGAGCCTCATCCATGTAAGTGTGAGCAGTGCACAGCCGGCTGTAGACACGTCTCCGACGGGCAAGGTGTGTCAGTGTATAATTTAATGACTAATCAAGCAGTGTTTAGCAATGAACCACTGTGCTTTGATTCTCCCCTGAGCGCCCTGAGCCTTGCACCCCAGGACTTCCTAAGCCGCCACGTCCCCACATCGATCACAAGACCCCTGAAAGGACCCAGCCAGCAGAGACCTGCAGCTCCACCCCTGAAGTTCCAGCGTTCGAGACCCCGTTCCTCAAGAGCCTCATCCATGTAAGAGCGACCGCTGCACGGCCGGAGTCAGAGCCTGAGCACCGTCAGGAATACTGGCCTAAAGCAAAGGAAAGTGGACATATAATGCTGAGGATATATAATATATATAATGAACTTTCATTAGCTAAAACATTGATTTCTCTGCTCTCATTATGGGAAAATTCCATTCCGAAAGCCACAGTGTTCACTAATTATCTAACACTCCAGAGAGCTGTCACTGTCTACACTTGGCACTTTGTGATGTGCTGCCTGCTAAGGCAGCACAGAGAGGAAGTAATTAACTTGGCTAAACATTCACTGCTTGTGAAGATCACAGTGGTGTTTCATTCACACGAAGATGTAAGATAAACGTTCGAGCAGCAATTCTGTTTAATATGATAACACTGACGTACATGCCTGTACGAACACTGTTAACGTGCTTTATTTCAAGACAGAGTGGGATGTCAAACGCAGACAACACCGAGACTGGTCCCATGGAAGAGACTTTTACTCACTGTGAGTGTTCTCAGCCTCTTGATTTGTTGTTCTTGATCTCAAAACAGTTGGAATACAAATCAACAAGTGATGTCAAAACAGACCTACACTTCGGGGGTTCTTTTCTGTAGTCTGGGGGAGTAAAACGATTTTGTTGAAATAAGTGCAGCTTATTTCACTGGAATACTTTCTCTTCTGTTTTTGGTGCAGTGCGCTCCAGGACGACAGGAAAACTGACTTGTGTAAGTTTTTATGTGGCTTCTTCCCTTGACTGAAATCAGAACAGCACTCTAGTTCCGAAGCTAGTTGCTGTGCGAGGTCCTGTGGGGTTTGTGGGACTGGTGGACGTGTTCTGGGTCCAGCGCGACTGTGCTCTTGACTTGCGCTCGAATTCTTTCAGGAAGCAGCCCCAGGGGGGGAGCAGAAGGCGAAGGCAGGCCGGGGAACAGCCGCTGGGCTCTTCCAGATGAGGCAGCCCTCCCCGCCAGCGCTGGGCCGTGAGGAGTTCACCTTCCATCGCGAGCAGCTGGTAACGCCCCCGGGCGGGCTGGCGGCTCTGCTGCCCCGGCGCTCAGCTAACGCTGGAGTCCATTCCTGCGACTCGTGTTCAGGGCGGCCCTGCGCACGTGCCGTTTGGCATTGTCACGTGCAGCGCTGCGTGTGGCGGGAAGAGTTACAGGTTTCCTTCCTTTCCCAAAGACGTGCTAAACTGTCTTTATTCATGGCTCTGTGATGAGCTGGTGTCCTGTTCTCCCTACCGGCACCTTGCTCGTGCGGGGATAGGCTCCGAGTTCCTCTACTGCAGAATCCGCTTCTTTCTGACAGCAGCTGAACGTCACACTGTTGCTCTCTGCCGGTGGGGCGGAATTCACTGCTAGAAGGATGCTTTCCCTGCCCTTCCACTAGTTTGAAAAAAATAGGTGGAGGAGTGAAATAAAAAAACAACATGTTCACTCACTTTTAGATCATCTGTTCAACAAACCCAGATTGAAGACCACGAAGATCGTTTTCCCACTATCCCATTGATCTAGCCTTAGTTCCGATTGAGAATCTGATAGAGAACTATTTTTTTACTCATTTATCTGCAAATAAATCGCCGTGGACTCTGCATTTCTTACTGGTATGCATTGTTGAGTAAAGGGATTGTGGGATTGTACATCGCTGAAGCCGAAACCCTTCTTTCAGGACACGCTTAGATGAGATCCTGCTGGCTACCAGTCTAGATAGATGAAACATCTTCCTTTCATTTGTTGCCCTCTCCGAGTCCCATGTCCCCGTGTTCATGATGTCCTGTATTTGGTGTGTTCTGTACAGCACCCTTTCCAGGGCCTTGCCAAGCCTTTCCTCCACGTCCCTCCAAGGCCGGCTTTCCTCATAACAGATGAGGAGAAGGAGAACAGGTGGGGAGATAACAGCACCCGCGTCACTTGTGCCAACGTGTAGAAACGATACCGCTTTGTCTTGCTTTTTAACCTAACACTGATTTAAACAACAGTTGTTAACAGTTGCACAGGTCCACACATATAGTATAGCAACCTTAAATAAACCATTCTAAATGTGCATGAAATAAATGTGTTTATAATAGTTCAAGAAATGAAGACTGAAAGGGTTATATAGATTTTGTTTCGGATAAATCTCTTTGACATGAATTAAGTGGTCTGTTTTTTTCTGCAGCGTTCAGAGGCTTGCCACAGTGTCAGAAAAGGAGTACTTGGTTCTGCCTAATTATCTGAAGCAGATCCACCTGGCAAACCTCAATATGGCTATTCATAAGATAAACATGGCACTGGACAGTAACCACATAGGTGAGTAAGATCCAATGTTGTTGTTCTTTTTCAGTGCAAGTGAAACGAAAACAAGCATTCTGATCTGTAGTCACTGTATGAGTCCTCTTAGACAGGAAACCAGTATGTTTTTGTTAGCAAGATAAAACTTTTTCAAAACAAAGTACCTGAATGTGGTTATTGGATTTTTTAAATTCTAGAACAAAACAAACCTGTGCACCTAACCACCTGTTCCTGAAATAGATCATGGTATCTGTAAATGAAAGATAAAACATTACTCTCAAATATATTTATCATGTTCCAAATATAAACATCCAATTTTCTCTGTGACACCTCCGAAATAAATCTAATGCCCAAAACATTTTCCAGCATAATGTAGTAAGACTTGGTCCCACTCCCTGTTCAGCAGCAGATTCTCCAGAGTACCTGATGAAAGATGCTGATCTGAAGAACATAATAGATGAAGGCCCAAAGGTTAACATCTACATCCTGTGTCTGATGGAGTTGAACAGACTGAAGGTGATGAGGAACGCCGGTGCTGGTAACGTGTACAAAGTCATCCTGGACACAGACATTCAGTAAAGCACGAATACAGCGGCACTCTGCTTTCCTCAGAAGACACCAACCATCCGAAAAGAACTGCACAGGCGCACGGAGCTCTGTTCACAACTTTCAAGGCTGAGAATCCACAGCTCCGTAGCAGGCGTTTTTAACGTGATCGGTTTTTTTAATGCACTTGGGGAAGTCACATTTCACCTACAGGACTCTTTGGAATCCTGACACTGACGTTCTGAAGCCTGAGCTTTCTCGACTGCTTTTATATGATTTTCTCAACATTTTCACTTTTTTCTGTTGTTCATTGCTGTTTTAAATGTAAAATTATAGGGAATAAAGGTTTGCTAGCACATTATTTTTTTCCTATTATGTCCCGTCTTCTGAATTATCTAACTAGGCTTCCCTTCTTGTGGATGAAGGCGGAGTAACTGAAATAAGACACTCAGTGATGTTAAAGTAAATGTGAGAACTTTGCCAAGTGGATCTCACATTCAGCCTCGATGTACAATGTGAAATTCATTTTGAAGAAAATTCATTGGAGGTAGCCTCTCACCATTTTAACCCACTGCTGGTCCTTTCCCATGTCCAGTGGCATGACTAGATCAGCAACGCTGTCTCATGGCGGTGATATTTGTTCATACAGGAAAACACGGGGGGCATCTTCAAGGTTGACGCTGTCACGGTAGGGTCTGTATTGCGTTAATCAGGGTTACACAAAGTCTGCTATCTGCTATCTGCTATTGAAGTAAAGAGTCAGCTCTGGACAACAAGGAGCCAATAGACACCCTCCGGGATAAAGCTGTGGAAAGGCACCAAGCAGGAGATCGAGATAAAAATCCAGTGGCATCCTTGAAGGATTTGAATCAAAGACTAGACATTGTGTACCTGTCACAGCAATATTCCAAGCTCTCCACTACTCCAGGCCATTGCCCACAAAAAGTGTATGCAAAACTACCAGAGCTTCTGAAGCTATGCTGAAAAATCTTTGTTTGGTCTGATGAAACCAGGATAGACTTTTCTCGCCAAAGGACAAATACAGGACTACACCCCCAAAACACCTTCCCTGCTGTAAAGCATGGTGGAGGCAGCATGGCTACAGGAGTGTTTCCCTGTAGCAGTGACTCGGACCCTGGAGGCAGCTGTAATGGGGAAGCAGGCTTACTTTTCAACACGACACCGACCCCAGGCAACAGCGGGGACGATCAAGAACACAAAGGCGAATGTCCTCGAGCGCCCCAGTCTGCTTTCCCCTCCCCGTCTTCAAGGTGGAATGGACACATTGCCAGACCTAGCCATGCAACTTCTTTACGGACCTATACGGTTACGGCTGTTGTTCTAGCATATATTTCAGAATGTTTAAGTGTGTGTCTTTCACTTGGAGGTTGTCACAATGTGCAAATAAGGGTAAAATTCTCATTGAAGGGTGTTATTGGGGTAACTTTCAAAAGGGTGTGAAGATTTTAGAGACTGTATGTATATATACACACACAGGGTGGGTAAAATACTATCAGCTTTTTAAAGTGATCTTAAATCTTCACTTGCAATTTTAAGCATGAAAAACTCCAGAACAAACACCCTCATTGTTAACATCCCCTCTAACTTTTCCCCCTGAATTAAATCTGGGTATTTAAGTTTGGAGGGGTTAACAGAGACCAAGGCACAGTGTGATCAACCAGACCAGCCATCTAGCATGATCAAGGACGAATAGCAGTATAACACCAAACCAGGTTCCTCAAGGGTCTAATCTCAAAGTTTTAATTCCTGTAAATCTGTTACTCCACACCTGTGACCCAGTCACGCACGCTCACACCAACCCCACCTTTAAAAAAAACATCATACTTCCCACACGAGATTTCTTTCAGAAAAAACACCTTCACAGAAATCGTTTAATTGAATTACCAAATCCAAAGCAAATTAAAATTCACGAAAAAATGAAAGGAGCTTTCAAACTAAATTTCCTTAAACGCTTCCATAAAAAAAAAAGCTACAGCGACATTAATTAAATCAGGAAAGGCAGGAAAAAAAGGCTTTAATAGGAAACACAGGGGATATAAAACATAGCGGCCGCAGTCCCCGGCGGTCAGTAGGGCCTCATGCGTCCAGGCAGGGGCGGCGCTCTGTTCGGCGGCGTTATGGCAATGTCTAGGTAGTCTCCTATCTGGAACCGCTGCGATTGCAGAGTCATGGAATCGTCTGCTCCTTTCCGCCCGGACACCGTGTTCCCAATGTCTTTAACTCTACAGGACCAAGGGCAGATCATCTTAGGTGTCACAGTTCAAACACAGCCGCTGCGCGTTTAAGCTCGGCCCGTAACGGCGGTATTTCTCAAGGTATTTACCTGTAGCCTTGTCTTTTAGGGTCAGGGTACACGATGGCAAAGCCAAAATGCGTGCCTTTCTTCCGAGCTTCTGGATAGACTTCTTTCACCAAGCTGGTCAGTTCCTTCAAGGTAGCATCCATCCTATTTGAGACAATGTTACTCTTTAAAGTACCCAAGACGGAAGCTAAGACTCAGCACTTAACTTCAGCTCCAACAGCAGGAGAACATTTGAAAAATAAACATAACTACTCCATATTTGGCTAATGTCACCTCAAGACAATAAATTTGCACTTTCAGCACAGCTTAAGGTTTTCCACGGTCGTGGGAGGGGAGCTGGCAGCAGATTCTGCAAGATCATTCTTGTAGTTTTTGAAAAGTTTGGCGTTCCGGTTGAATTCGACCTGGCATATTAAAACAAGCAGGCCAACAGAGTTACATTTGTCATTTCATTGCTTGTGATGAAAGCATTGGCCTTCTGAGTACCACCACAACTATGCCATATCCAATGGCGCGTGTTGATAGCGCAGGGCCCACGTCTCTCGGATCAGGGCTCTGCAACAGGTCTGGGCACCTGCAGAGGTGAACAGCTTTGTTCTTCTGGTCAGTTAGTCTGTCCAGCTGGTCCTGGAGAGCCCCAGTACTGCTCAACTTCTTTTTAAAGACTGTAAGACAACACTGACCAAGCAAGTAATCTGTTCAATTAACAGAGACCCAGCAGCTCTATCACCCTTTAACTCACAGCTGGCAACCCAGTGGAGCTCAGCAGGTGTGAGCCTGGCGAATACCTGGATGCGAGACCTCCTGGGAAAGCTCAGGTTGCTGCTGAAGAGGTGTTAGTAGGGGGCGCTCACCCTGCGTTCTGTGTGGGTCTGTGACGGGGACACCAAACTGTAAATGGGCACCGTCTTTCGGATGAGACAATAAACCGAGGTCCTGACTCTCCGTGGTCATTTAAAATCCAAGGGTGTTTCTCAAAAAGAGTAGGGGTGTTACCACAATGTCTTGATCAAATTTCCCCCTGGTCTTTACCAGTCATGGCTTCCCAATAAGCCTCATCACTCTGCTCTCCTCCCTACTGAGAGCTGGTGTGTGGGGAGCAGCCTGGAGCACTCTGGCTGCCACCACATCATCCATGTGGTGGTGGAGGGGATCCCCATTACCTGCAAAGCACTGAGTACAGTGTCCAGAAAAGAGCTATATAGGTGTAAGGATATCATTAATATAACTAATCCCTGAAATCTGAGAAGTACATAGATTTTAGTCCTAAAATATCTCTAAATTAATTTAACGGTGCAGTGGCTCTATGGCTCAGGATCTGTGCCTGTGGCTGGAAGGTTGCTGGTTCAAATCCCGCAGCCGGCAGAGGAATCCTACTCCGTTGGGCCCCCGAGCAAGGCCCTTAACCCCAGCTGCTCCAGGGGTGGTTACAGTGGAATTGGTCCATATCTTCAGAAACTGCTTATTTTATGATGACCTATAAAACAACTTGCTGGGGTGGGGCTCTCCCGGCCCTAGCAGGGAGCCCCGTGGTGTGAAGTGTCATCAGACCTACCAGGTATAGATTTGCAGCTCGCTGGAGGGCACGTTTCCCCTGGCGAACTCGTCCATTCTGTGGTGTCTGCCGTTGTTCGTGGTGAACACCCGCAGCAGCAGCGGGCAAGTCTGCAAACAAAACAACAAAAATAAGTACCTAGCTTTCGCAGTCGCGGGAAACCGATTGGTGGTCTCAAGCGTGGTATCTGCTCACCATCGTGTTTCACAAAAGATGCATTACAAACTTGCTAGCTACATCTACATTCATCGCGTTGTAAGTAAATAAATGACCTTTAAGTATATTTTGCTCACTAAGGAAAGAAAGTGAGAAAAACATATACTTTATCGCCGTTTTCTCAACTCGTATTGCTTCGCATCGCACACGTTTGGCAGCAATTAGGAAGAGAAAGTAAATCGTTTTAACTGAAAACTCAATAAGTCTCACTGTCTTTGAGGGAGACACTGTACAACTACCCAAAATGCGAAGAAACACGAAATGAAAACACAGTTTTACACAGCACATACCTAATGATGCGTTTAATGGAGACCAACACAACACCGTTCCATACATTTCCAGAAAACAAAATACAAGGCACCACTCAAACCGTCCGTGCGCATCTTCGATAGACAAAAACGGCTTAACACAACTCACCTTTTCCCTATCGACGGGCTTTTCGGGTTCTTTCTTGATTTCTTCCTGAGTGACTCGAGATTCAACAGCCATTTTCCCAGAAAGCGCCCCCGCGTCTTCACGCCGACCCCGTACAAACACAAGTATAACTTCCGGTTCAACTCACGGGTCGTGATGACGTAACAGGATACGTAGCCCGCGAATGAGCTTTAAGGCTATGGAGCCAATCAAAATGCGACTTCTCCGTATCGTATAATGCCTAAAATAGGCGCACACCCTTTTTATGCTGAAGTGCTTAGGTTAAAGGTGATTATTTCTAACAGTAAGAACATGACAGCTGTGCGGACCTTATATAATAATAACAATAATAATAATAATAATAATAATAATAATTGCTTACACTTATATAGCGCTTTTCTGGACACTCCACTCAAAGTGCTTTACAGGTAATGGGGATCCCCTCCACCACCACCAGTGTGCAGCCCCACCTGGATGATGCGACGGCAGCCATAGTGCGCCAGAACACTCACCACACACCAGCTATCAGTGGGGAGGAGAGCAGAGTAATGTAGCCAATTCATAGATAGGGATTATTAGGAGGCCATGATTGGTAAGGGCCGATTGGAAATTTTGGCCAGGACACCGGGGTTACACCCCTACTCTTTTCGAGAAATGCCCTGGGATTTTTAATGACCACAGAGAGTCAGGACCTTGACTATACTGGGGCATTAAGACCCACATGGACCACAGGGTGAGCGCCCCCTGTTGGCCCCACTAACACCTCTTCCAGCAGCAACCTTAGTTTTTCCCAAGAGTTTTTCCTTATCTTTACTTATCTTGTTAAATCTTTTTTGTAAAGTGCAGTTGTATTACAGTATGTACCATTGAAGATGTTATTAATATGTCATATTGTTGGTGTTTCCATTATTTTGGTAGTTGCGTGTATTTGACTTTGCTTCTTTAAAGAGAAGGCTAAATAAGATTCCCAGGTCAATTTGCTTTTAATAACCAAACAAGCCTCCTTTTGCCCGTATCCATTCTGTTCTTGTGTTTATTTTACCTGTGTCGAGACTTTCAATGTGTGCTTTCAAGATATTCCAGCCCAGGCCATTCCTTAGGGCTTGTGTGCTACAGTAGGTGTCCGCTTTCCTGCTTCTGTGAAAAATACGTCCATCTCTTCAGTTTTGAACGGAAGGTTTTTACTGGCTGAGATCATCCAAGAGTCACTCATTAAAAAAAAATGATATTAAGCAATCCGTAGATGAAGCAATTCAACACTCTGTGGAACTGATAGAGGCATTTATTATGTTTTATTCAGTACTTCAACATTTTGAATTTTATTAATGCACTGAGACACTCTGGTCTGTAGAGAGATAAGAAAAGAATATCTGCTCTGCTTTTTTTCCTTTCCATACTGTACCTCTGGTTTAGAAAGAGGGAGGAAACATATTTACAGTCAGACCCCCCCCCCCGACTGTACTGCGGCTCTTTGACTGTAACTCCTGACGGGCTGAGACTGCGAACCTGTGTCGTGTTTCCCAGTGGGACCTCATAACGGGTCCACGGGTCACAAAGATAATAGCTCACTTTCTAACACAACGCGGTCTTCCAGCTGATCCGCATCACTACCAGGAGATATAATCCGACGTAATTCAGGCGCAAACACGTCTGTCATACTGAATTCCTCAGCTCTCCTTGTAGCTGTACATCTAGCAAGATCTGCTCATGCAACGCGTGACGAACCGGATCGCAGCGCTATTAAAAGGAGCTGAGAGACACTGGGGACTGTGGTACAGAGGGTCAGTGGGAAGAAATTATAAACAACAAAACTGTCACTTGGAAGAAGCTGTCACAAACTAGCCGATTCAGAAGAGGCTGTCCTGGTGACCAGGCTATTCAAATCTAATCTGGATGAGTTAACTCAATGGTGTTTAAAGCGCTCTGTGCGTGAATTAATATGCGTGATAATTATGTGGATGTTTGGACGTGTTTTAAAACAATACAAAACGGTTCGTCCTTAGATTTACTGTCCAGAGCGCAATGACAGCATTGAAACAAGGAAGCCGTTTGTCGGTTTCCCTCGATGTTAGTCGGTTGCTTTGCACTCTAACACGCTTTTCCAGCGGCACATTTTCACTCCTTAGTGCTCTGGGCCGCTTAGATCTGAAACAATAAGCACCCCTCCAGCCTCAGTAACCGGAGCCTGGCGACTGTTTCATCCTGTCCTGCGTTATTGATGCTTCTTCTTACGCGTTATGTTGGCTAAAATGGCAGGAAATTAACGCGGGTCTTGAGGTGATCTTGACCAACCTGCCCCTCGTTTACTTTTGGGGTTGCCGCTCCTAGTGCGTGTTTGTTTTTCCTTCATTTATTACGTCTAAGACTGGGTTTTAATTGTACTTTGGCTACTGGGGCCTTGTACGTTTAACCAAATGTACAGTCACCTGTAGCTATGAACTGAACGTTTAGTTATCTGTAGCTGACGCGATTTCTATAGCCAACAATTGATTTTTAAGATCTGCTCAGGCTGAATAACCCCCCCCCGAAGAAGGATCCACAGCCGAAACGTTGTGTTGTCTTCCTTCTCTTTTCAGCCGGGAATGAACCTAAAACTTGTTCCTTTGCGGCTCAATAACTACTTCAGCCTAAACACTGGGATTTGTGTGTGTGTGTGGGGGGGGGGGGTTGACAAAACAGAAAGACACACATTCGGGCGTGTTGCCAGTCGGCTTCCTGGCTTCCCGGGGCGCCCTGCGCGTCTGTGGGGTTTTTGGTTGTTTTGTTTTTTTTTTTTCTTCTTGGGTCACGAAGCCGCGCTCGAGCGCTAGAAGCGCCCCCCAGCCCGCGAGCGCGCGGGCCGCTGACGTGATCCGGGGGCGTCACGTGCTCCCCCTGGAATGCGAGCGATGCAGAAAGTGTCCAACTGAGCACAGCGTCCTAATTCAGCCCACTGTAGGGAGAAAATGGAGCCTCATACCGGCGTGAGCCCCGGCCGCAGGCATTGAGCTGAGCTGGGTGGCTGAAGGACAGCCCCGTTCACGATAGCAGCAGCAGCAGATAAGGTAACTTTCCCCTTCTCCTGATGCATTTCTGTTTGTTTGTTTGTTTGTTTGTTTGTTTTTAGAGAGTTTACCGTTACTTTTTCTTACAATGCACGCGTTTTGCTGTTGCGAGTGGTTGCTATGCTCCCGCGTCTGGGAAAGGTGCAACTCTTCGATTTTTTTTCGGCGGTTCGATGATTTTTTTTTTAATTTTAAAAATCGTAAATGTATTTCTGTTCTCGACAGCCGATGTGGGGTGCGGGTAGGGGCGTTCGTCTTCAACTGAAGGCGCGCACGCACGCACATGCCAACATATATAGAAGGGGGGGGTGGCCGATGAAACTTCAAAGTCTCCCTAAGGTGGAATGTCGGGCTCCTTCTCCGGACCTGCGTTCCAGTCACTCCAATCAGGACCAGATCGCAAACTTTCAGCCCCAACTCGAACAGGCTCTGTGAAGTTTTTTTTCTTAACTTTTTTTTTTTTGGAGGGGGGAACGACGTTAACTAGGGATCTGCCATCTAAATAAAAGACACGCGGCTTGCAGAAGGGGCTGGGGAGGCAGCCAGCGCTCCGAAGGACCGAGACGAGCCCGTGAGACGATGGTAAGGTGTCGGAGGGGTTTTCATCGTTTTGTCGAGAAGGAGGTGGGGAGAAGAGAGCACAGCCAGTAATGATTATGTTTTGTCATATGCAAGTCGAAGTTCCGAAAAACGGCAGCAGAGCTGAGTGCCTAAAACGTTTTCAATGTGCCGATTTTTTTTTTTTCTGGGCAGAGAAATTAAACGAGGGGGCAGATCGTGTAATTCCCCGTCTGTCGGTGCCCGTGGACGTGTATATACTCGGTATCGGTTGATGGGTTCAGTGCAGCGTCTGCTTCTGTCTTGTACATTTTTAACGTCGGGTTGCTACAAAGCTGACACTGTTACCACGGTTTAAATGGGCACCGTCGTCTCTTGCGTGTGTTTCCCAGCGAGCTGCTGCACATATCGTGCCTGCCGCCCGCTGCCCCTGTCTCTCGATTCTCATGAACTCCGCCGTCTGTATGACAGACTTCAAAACCCGTTTACAGTCTGGTCGGTATCCGAGTGTAAGTCTCTCGAAAAGCAGATGTTACAGGATACAGCTGGGTGTTGTTTTAAGAGGCACAAAGATGAACTTGACCGTCCCACCACTGTGTGTGAACTGTGAACTGGGAGGTTGTGAAACATTGTTGTCGCGTCCATGTCCTTCCCAGCGGCCACGCTGTTTGTGTTGTTGATTGAACTGCAGAGTCGGGTTCAATTCGACTGCGGTGGCCGGACACCTCTGCGTTCGTTATCCTTTCCATTATTGTGCGATATTGCACTTATTGCAAAAAGGTATCGATAGACGTCTATAAAAGCTCAGCGTTTTACTTCAGAAGCATCCCTGTAATTAATTTATCAGATTGATCAGGGTTTTTTTTTTAATTGAGTCGCATTAGAGGTAGTGTAAGCTGCAGGCAACCGCATGGTTTTCAGGAGAGGTGTGTCTTATATTTATTATAAAGACGTGCCAAGATCTCCTGCCCACGTTCCGAACTTTTTAAACAAGTTGCATATTATTTTCTTTCTCCGTTATACAGAACACGCCTTTTTTTTCTGGAAATGATGCTGGAGATGGAAGAAATCCAGAATGTTCCTTACCAATGACATTTTAGGGTGTTTAAAATGTTAGCACGCTGCAGTATGAGGTAGTTTTATCGCGCACCTAATGTAGGAACAACACAGCTGTCCAGGAGGCGCTGCTGCAGAAGCGTGCTGGGAAGCAGCGGGTTAGAAGGGGCTCTCACGGCGTCTCGCAGGGCGGTGCAGGTGGTGCTGCCGAGTCCCCCAGATCCCTCCCCCCCCAGGAGGGGTGATGGGGTGTGGCCACGGCTGCAGACCTGACCGGCGGCGGCCGGGCAGTCGGTCCGTGACGGGCCCTCGGCTTTAGTGTTGCCGGGGCTCTGTGACAACGTGCGCGGCCAGCAGCTCCATCCCCCTGCAGCTCCCAGCTGGCAGCCCCACTGGAGCCCAGCAGTGTGAGCCTGGCCAGTACCTGGATGGGAGACTCCGGGGAAAAACTAAGGCTGCTGCTGGAAGAGGTGTGAGTGGGGCCAGCAGGGGGCGCTCACCCTGCGGTCTGTGTGGGTCCTAATGCCCCAGTATCGTGATGGGGACACTGTACTGTAAAAAGCCACTGTCCTTCGGGTGAGACGTTAAACTGAGGTCCTGACTCTGTGGTCATTAAAAGTCCCAGAGTGTTTCTCACAAAGAGTAGGGATGTCTCCCCCCGGTGTCCAGGCCAAATTTCCCCCGGCCTTTACCAATCATGGCCTCCTAATAATCCCCCTCTCTGAACTGGCTTCATCACTCTGCTCTCCTCCCCACTGAGAGCTGGTGTGTGGGGAGCGTACTGGTGCATCATCCAGGAGGGGCTGCACACTGGTGGGGGTGGAGGGGATCCCCATGACCTGTAAAGCGCTTTGAGTGGAGAGTCCAGAAAAGCGCTGTAGAAGTGTGAGGAGCTATGAATTATTATTGTCCATCGGAGTGGTGTCCCCTCAGTCCCTCTGGGGACATGGGCAGTGGCAGTGGAGCTCCCCTGCAGAGCCTGGGGGAGCCTGTGCCTTCGGGTCACCCTCCCACAGGGTCCGCAGGACTCGGCTGGTATGTGGGGGGGCAGGTCCGTCCCCGGGGCCCAGCGCCCGGTCCTGCCGGGTCAGGCTCCGGGTCGGTGCGGACCTCTGACAACGGGTGGACCGCCCAGGCTGTTATCTGCTCTGGGGTCTTTGAAATAACGTAGCCATCACCTGGGTGTGACCCCGTGCTCCCGCCTTCGTCCACGTGAGATTTCATTAGCGATCAAGATGAAGCAGTTGGAGATTTTTACCTCTAACGAGCGTGAGGGGAGGGGAGTTGATTTTCACAAAATCGGATGCGTCTCGCCTCTCGGTTAGCTCCGCTGACGAACAGACTTCGCGTGACAAGCGAAGGGTCCACCCCCGGCGCCCGTCAGCAGGATACAGTATGTCTGGGTTCCACGTTCGGGTCTTGAGTGGAGTTGTTTGTTGTTAACTGCTGTCATTGGGAGCCTGTTTTTTTTGCACAGCTGTTGGCTACCCAGGCCCCTGGCTTTCTCGATGCTGCCTGTATTAATCAGGTGGACCTTCAGCCTCCTCAGAGTCTTAACAGAACCAGAGTGTGTGCAGTTTCAGCAGACGTATAACATTTACACGTAGGCGTTGCGCGTAAAGGACTATACGAACAAATCGGACAGTATTACACAGAAGAAGAAGAAGAAATCTGTGTCCGTTTCAGATGACTGCGTGTCCTGCCACCGCTAAGATTTAGCCCGTTAAGGTAGAGGAAGACATGTTGACAAAACTGGTGTTTATTACCTGTGGGGGGGGAAATGTGCATTTTTGGGGGATCTTGTGTGTTCAGATCATGGGAATAGACATTTCGCTAAAGCTGCAGAGATGCCCATTGTCTCCCGCTGTGTGTTGGGGGGGCGCAGACAGGAAAAGGGAAGGGGGTCAGAGTTGTTGGTGTGGCTGTCAAATGGCGCACGGCACCCCGCTGATCCCACTTCCTCTATCCAGTTCGGGGTGGCGGGGGAGCTGGAGCCTATCCCAGCAGGCAGCGGTGCACCCCGGACGGGATGCCAGTCCAGCCCTGGCCCTGCTTCGGCCCGGTCGCGCGCGGCTCTGCTGACGCTTCTCCCCCCGTCTGTCTTCCCAGAGGCCCCGCGGGGATGGAGCGGTCAGCGGGCACGGCGCCTTCTCTCTCAGGCTGCAGGACGGCGGGGAGCCCGGTCCTCTGAGGCCCCACTAAAGCCTGCGTCCGGACAGCGCGGCGGGGCGGGCTCTGGGCGGCCCGTCCGTTGATGTTGTGGGGCGGGGAGGAGGACTGAGAGCAGCGTCCGGCGCGGGCCAAGCGGAGAGGAGCCGGGGGGAGGGCGGGAGCGGCCATGAGGCCGAAGACGTTCCCCGCCACCCCGTACGCGGGCAACACGCGGCAGCGCCTGCAGGAGATCAAGGAGGGCCTGAAGCAGCCGGCCAAGCTGGTGAGCCAGGCGCTGCAGGGGGGCCGCGGCGCCGAGGGCGGCCGGCCGCCGCCGCAGCAGCACCACCCCCGCGCGCCCCAGAAGTTCGGCAACTACCAGACCGCCCTGCGCGAGATCCGGCGGTCGCTACTGCCCTTCGCCAACGACTCGGGCTCCTCGCCAGGCCCGGAGGTCAACCGGCAGATGCTGCAGGAGCTCGTCAACGCCGGGTGCGACCAGGTACCACAGCGGGGGGCTTCTCTCCTGACTCTGGGGGGCTCCTCTTCCTCGCCTGCCGCTCCGCGCGGCGCGGGCGCCTGACTCGCGGGGCGCCGGCGGTGGGAGGCGGGCGGAGACGCTCGGTGGGGTCCGCAGGGTTTGCAGGAGGCAGGGGCGCGAGGCGTGCGAGAGCCCCGTGTGTTTCCTGAAGCAGCTCCAGGGGCGGCCGGGGTCTTGTCATGTGAGGGTGGCCAGGGGTCTCGCTCAGGACGGGTGTGAGGGGAGGTCTCGGCTGCCCAGTTTGACTGTTATTAATTGCTTCAGAAAGTACGAAGACACCCTTTGAGCTCGAGGCTGCATACGGCGTGGCAAACAAAAATCGACTCTGTTTTCAAAGTAGCTGTGAGGTTTTGAATCATCTGTACATCAGCGTTGACCAGCCCTAGTCCTGCAGGCGTCCAGGTTACTTTGATTCAGCCCGGGACGGACAGGGGTGGCCCTGGAGAGAGCTGGGCTCTGTTCTCCATGCTCTGTGTGTATGTGGCAGCGACACGCCTCCTTTGAAAAGTCACTGGGCAGCCGTGGCATCTCCGCTAGATCCCAGTTTAGTCAAATGTTGTGGCCCTCTAAATACAGGCTGTTTTTTTGTCATCATGAAATGAAGCGCAGCTATTCCAAAATATCGTGGCTGTGATTACTCTGCTGCACCAGTGCCACCGGCGCCGCCTCGGGGGAGGGAATGGGAGAGCTTCGGGACCACGGCGCATTGTTCTCGGGATTTCTGCTAAGGCCCCGGCATGTGTGGTTGGTGAAGACCGGACGTCACGGCATTCCGACGCCCACATTCCCTTCTCACAACTTCCTTTCTGAACCAGGCCAGCCAGAGGCTGAGTCCCTCTCTGTTTGTAAACAGCCAGGCCCGTGGTGTTGGGACAGAACACATCTGACTTCCTTTTCCCTCTGGTCTTTCATTCATTACGGAGCGCATGTCAGGCCCTTATCGCTGTGCTTTAGTCTGAGGAGCACGAGAGAAGAGGGGATGTAGGATTTGAACAGGATCAGTGGTAGAGCCAAGGGGAGGGCCTCCTGCTTCTTATTTTTCTGCATGATCTTGCCTGCTGTTGGGAGGATCTGGGAGGCCAGTCTGTTGCAGCGAAGGACAGGCAGTGTGGATTCGTTGAGCAGCTTGTCGGATCTTCAGTGATCCGTCTTTCTTCATCAGTCGATGGTTTCACGGCTGAGGGTGAAGTATGATTCCAGGAGTAGCGTGTTAAGAATCTGTGTGAGCTGAAAGAGAGGAGTACGTGTACAATCGGATTCTCATTCGCCCCATTCGCTCGGGACTACACAGTACAGCAGATAACCGCGCACCATGAAGACCGCACATTACAAAACAGTAAAGAAAGAATGACAATATGTACAGACAAACAGACAGAGCAGAAACACAAACAGGAGTAGATCTGCCTGTCGTGTTGTCTGTGTAAACAGCCCCTTATAAGCAGAGGTTTGCCTTGCTGTATTCATTCTGAACCTTCTTTTGAGTGCAGGGAAGAAAACTCCTGTTTGGGCTTTGGCCAGATTAATAAATGATAGTCATCAACCTTCTGCTACTGTAATGGTAGCTTATACAGTACAGTTTGACAGATTTCCCTCTAGATAACTGTCCTTTAAGAATTCTATCCTTTAGCAGGCCATTGAGAGACATGTCAGCCTTTGTTATATTTAGGCACCTTAGAAGTAATAATAATAATATTTCTTTATTAGCCCTATACAATTTATTGCATTAGGAATTCGTCTTTTCACATACCCCAGCTTTTCTCCAAGGAGACACAGACAGGGAGAGAAGCCTGGGGTCAGAGCGCAGGGTCAGCCATTGTACAGCACCCCTGGAGCAGTTAGGGTGAAGGGCCTCGCTCAGGGGCCCAACGGAGTAGGATTCCTCTGCCGGCAACGGGATTTGAACCGGCAACCTTCCAGTCACAGGTGCAGATCCTGAGCCACAGGGCCACCACACCTCCCCGTGTGAAGAAACGCAGATTAAACCTGAAAGATCAGATAATCACGGACATCATGACTGTGCTACTCCTAAAAGGCCACAAGTGGAGCCACTTGAGAGTTAAGAAATAATGCCTCTGTGGATTGTTGTGGGTTTTTTTTAAATTGTGGGTTTAGTTCAAGTCAGTAAAAATTAAAGAACAGCTCATAACGCCCACCTGACTCAACGCTGCCTGGCCACTTCGTTTTTGAACACTTCCACCTCTCTTCTGGGTCGTACATCAGAGGTGTGACGAAACCTTTGTCTTCAGGGGAAGCGCTCAAAGAATGCGGCGTTGGCCCTTATTTCCGAGTTTTATTCTCGTCATGCTGTAGGAGAGGGAGTGTGACCGCTGCTGCTGTGTTTGGCTGGGCTGAGTCCAGGCGTAGCTGCAGTTTAAAGGAAGCTTCAATTCAATGGCCCCAGGGTGTAGCAGTGTCCCAGAGCAGATGCTCGGACGCTGGCTCCTTCCTCTGCGGAGTGGAGCCTCCGAGAGCCAGCCGTGTCCCCCAGACCTCCGTCCGCACCTCTGGGATCCCGAGCTTGTAGAAATCCGGACACTACCGGTCACACTGCAGGTCCTACCCTGCGCCGCAGGCAGGCCCCTCAGGCTTCCCGGTGCTGGACCGGCGGGCTCAGCCACGGGCCGGTGAAGGTGGACTTTATCACTAGATGTAACTGTTGTTTCTATCAAGGTGAAATAAACACTTTGCAGGAACAGGTCTTGACATAATGTTGGGAAGCGTAATACTGAGCAGTAATACTGTCTGTGTGATAAAGAGCTGTTCTTCCGTTTTTTTGCTCATTTCATTGAGCTGTTCGGTGGTGATGGTTGTTTTCAGGTGTTCTTTAATTTGCTGTCAGTTTTGCTCGATTGTTGTCTGTGTTTGTTCCGGGGGATTATAAGAAGAGCAATGTTACAGGTTTCATTATCACAATGTCTGAGCTTTTTGATGGGGTGGGTTTGCAGGGAGCTGCTCCTCCTTATTCACTTGAAGCAGCTTACAGGCTGAGGAAAAGGGCATATTTACAACAGCGCCATGACTTCGAGTCCATCGACGCTTATACTGTCGGCCCCTGTCGTTGAGTGAGGAGCGGAGAGCTGCCTGTCTGGTCCAGAGGAACAGGGAATATGAGAAGGTCTCTCTTGCCTCATTCCTTGGTGTGTGGTGTGGGGTCGGCTGTGGCCTGTAGCCCACAGCTTGTGCAACTCTGCATTCCAGAAATCCTGTCTGTGGGCCCTGATAAGGCTTGGAGCCTGTTCACTACAGCTGGGTTTCATTATCTAGCAAGCTGAAAGTACTGAGATGTTGACGGGACTTAAGGTTCTGAAATTTAGAAATGCCGAGTGGTTCAAACAGTTGAGCTCCCTTCCTGGACCCAAGTGTGAATGCAGTGGTGGAACCAAGCTGACTGTAGAGTTACAATCTGCTTCTGTGGATGTGAAGGCGGGAATTCATTGAATTTTGCTGTTTACACAAGTAATTTAAAATTTTACATTTTGGTCATTCCTGCTTATTACTGCTTGGCATTTATGTCTGAACTAAGAACATGGTCAACCAAAAAAACATTAAATGATTCTGCAATTGATTTGTTAAAATTGCAGCATATACTGAATTAATTTAAACACTCCGAGACCAGCCTTAATTGCTCATGTTTTTGTTCTGGGATTAACAACACTGATGGACAGAGAAGTGAATCTCTTAACCCTGGCATTCGAAGAAACAGTTCCAGTCTTTCCTTGTGACACGTAGCGAGTGCGTGACTTAATCCTGTGAAGACCCTGACCCACTGGCTCTGAAACTTTGCGATATGGCACAGCATTCAGACAGTGCTTCTTGAAGGAGGTCATACCGGACTATACTTGACATACCGTCCAGGAGAGGACCAGGAGGAAAGCTGCTTTCATCACTGGTGAAACATTTTGGCAGACGGCAGCAAGCACAAAGTAGAGCCATTCACAGTGCTGGGGTGCGCAGTGTGTGGGTTCTGCTAATTATTCACTGCAGGGCTGTACAGAGAGGTCATTTTTGGCACAGCAAAGGTTAGGCAAGCCTGGCATTACAAAAGAATGCATTGAGCTGTGTAACACTTATGTTTTCTGTTGTGCTCAGGCTGCAGAAAAGGAAGATTGAATTTTGTTAGGATAGCAGTGTTCAAAATAATTTGGATGCTTAGTTTTATTGGTTTCTGTTTTAAACAGAGATCGCATGAATGAAACCCTCATGACATCCATTTCAGGTCTCAACGTGAAGATATTGCTGCTGTTACAAGCAAAGAGAAATTTTAGTGACCATCTTCAGCCAAACTACATGTCCACAATTTCTTTCATCCCGTCCATCTTCCTGGACATCTGAAGTGATTTTCCTGCCTTCATTCTCCACTGGAGCTCCCAGCTGAGTCATCACTATTTAACACAAAAGCCAAGGAGTGCAGATGTCTCTACTGGTGCCGTTTCTTAGAAACCTGTTGTCCTGGTCAGGCCATGTTTCCTGCTTTCCTTGTTCAGACTGTTGTTGTTGCTAAGCAGCACTGCACTTACACAAGGATGAGATCCGGGAGCTTGAAACTGAAGCCCTTTCCTGATCCAAGATGTGCATCCCGGAGTCTGGAAACTGAGATGTTTACACAGGGATCTATCAAGGATACGTACAGTACAATCTCAGCCTCAGTATATGAGATCAGGGGACGTGATCGCACCCTGAGCATGTTGCTTGTGGTTCTTGCCCGCTGATGAGCCAGGACATGGCTGCCCTGTCTCCATCGTGGTATCGCCAGGCCAGTGTGGGCCGTTCTTCTCTGTTCAGGCATGCTGGATAGAGCCAGGGACAAGAGAAAGTCCTGTCAGCAAGCTCCGTGTCTGAATGGATTTATTTATGGGTGTACGTATTGTTATGGACACAAACCCAGAAACTCAGTGGAATGAATATAGAAACAGCTTTGCATGAGGCTGCTTCTATGGAGGCTATGAGGCTATGTAGAATAA